AACTAGTATAAATAGCAGCTTAGGCCTTTGTAATTCAGTGTGCTTCCGAATTGTAATCGTCTATATTTTCAATCAATTGAAAAACCTTTGAAGCTATTTCTATTGTGTTCATCTTCTTCAAATTAATCTGTGTGTTCTTGGTTAATTACTCTGTTTTGTTCTTATCATTGTTTACGCTACACTGTAATCGTCTTAAAGATCATCCGGAGTAAGAGATCAAATACCAAATCTGAATTTACAGGTCCTAACAAATTCCTTAATAGCCCAAAATGCCTTATACTCTAACTCCAACGGAAGGTGACAAGATTTTCCAAAAACAAGTTGGTACGGAGACATGCCCAATGGAGTCTTGAAAGCGGTACGGTAGGCCCAAAGTGCATCATCCAATTTAAACGACCAATCTTTACGATTTGGCTTAACCACCTTTTCTAAAATATTTTTTATTTCCCGATTGGAAAGTTCCGCAAGACCATTGGTTTGCGGGTGGTAAGCCGTGGCTACTTTATGTCGGATGTTGTACTTCTCAAGAGTTGTACTTAACACTTTGTTTATGAGATGAGTCCCTTCATCGCTTATCAATGCTCGGGGTGTTCCAAAACGAACAAAAATGTTTTTATGCAAAAATTCCACTACCGTTTTGGCATCATTTCTTGGGCAAGCCTTTGCTTCTATCCATTTGGAGACATAGTCTACCGTAACCAAAATGTATTGGTTGTGAAAAGACATGGGAAATGGTCCCATAAAGTCAATACCCCAAACATCGAAAAGTTCGACTTCCAAAATATTGTTCAAGGGCATCTCATTTCTTTGGGACAAATTCCCCATGCGTTGGCATTGGTCACAACTCTTCACAAATTCAAAAGCATCTTTAATATGGAAGGCTAAAATAATCCGCTTTGTAAAATTTTAGCGACCGTACGTTATCCACCAAAGTGGCCTCCGTACGGAGATGCGTGACATTCCTTTAACAAAGCTTGGATTTCATCATCCGGGACACATTTTCTCAAAATTTGATCCGATCCCAATTTAAAAAGGGATGGATGGTCCCATAAATAATGCTTGCAATCGTGAAGAAAATTTTTAAACCGGTTTCCCTGAAAATGATATGGTTTAAGGCCACATGCAAGATAGTTGGCAATATTTGCATACCAATGATTTTGTTTTTTAAAATTATGTTGTATGGCCAAAACATATTCATCCGGAAAAACTTCCTTAATCTCATGATTCCCCCCACTTGATACRTTTCCTTCAATTCTAGAAAGGTGATCGGCCACTTGATTGTCACWTCCCTTTCGGTCAACAATCTGAAGATCAAATTCTTGCAATAAAAGAATCCATCTAATAAGYCGTGGTTTCGCATCAACTTTGTTAAATAAATACTTTATTGCCGAATGATCTGTATGAATAGTGACCTTGGTACCAATCAAGTATGAACGAAAATGATCAAAAGCAAATACTACCGCAAGCAACTCTTTTTCCGTGGTGGTATAATTTAATTGAGCTTCAATAAGAGTCTTACTTGTGTAGTATATGGGGTGAAAATTTTTATTTTTCCTTTGTCCCAAAACGGCACCCACGGCCCAATCACTTGCGTCACACATTACCTCAAAAGGTAGGGACCAATTGGGAGTGATTATAATGGGTGCCGACAAAAGAGCATTCTTGACTGCTTCAAAAGCCTTTTTACACTCGGAGGTGAACTCAAAAGTTTGATCAACATGCAATAAGTTACATAAGCGTTTTGCAATTTTAGAAAAATCCTTAATAAACCGTCGGTAAAAACCCGCTTGTCCCAAAAAGCTACGAATGCCTTTGACCGAAGTAGGTTCGGGCAATTGCATTATCACCTCAATTTTAGCTTTGTCAACTTCCAATCCTTTCTTTGAAATCATGTGACCCAAAACTATTCCCTCTTGTACCATAAAATGACATTTTTCCCAATTTCAAATCAAGTCATGGGTCTCACATCTCTCCAAACTTTTCTTCAAATTTTCAAGACAATTTTCGAAATTAGTGCCAATAACCGGAAAATCATCCATAAAAACTTCCATAGTGTCCTCAATCATATCTGAAAAATAGACATCATACATCGTTGGAAAGTGGCTTGAGCATTACATAAACCGAATGGCATACGTCGGAAAGCAAAAGTTCTAAAGGGACAAGTGAAAGTAGTTTTCTCTTGATCTTCGAGTGCAATATGGATTTGATTGTATCCCGAGTACCCATCCAAAAAACAATAAAACTCCTTTCCGGCCAACCGATCTAGCATTTGGTCTATGAAAGGTAAAGGGAAGTGATCTTTCTTAGTAGCTAAGTTCAACTGCCTATAGTCCATACAAATCCTCCACCCGGTAACGGTTCTAGTTGGGATAAGTTTGTTTTTATCGTTGGTGATTACCGTTGTACCACCTTTCTTAGGCACGCATTGAATTGGACTTACCCAACCGCTACTAGCAATGGGGTAAATAATACCCGTGTCTAACTACCTCAAGATTTCCTTCTTAACCACTTCTTTCATGATTTGATTTAGCCTTCTTTGAGCTTGTACCTTCCCAACACTATTTTCTTCCAATATGATCTTATGTTGGCAAAGGGAAGGGCTTATTCCCCTAATATCAGATATGGTCCAACCGAAAGTTTTCTTATGGTTCTTCAGCAAATCTATCAACCTTTCCTCTTGTTCAACACTTAAGTTGGAAGAAATAATCACGGGTAATTTTTCTCCTTCCATAAAATATGCATACTTAAGATGTGAAGGCAGTGGCTTTAACTCCAAATCGGGTGCTTCTACAATGGACGGGGTTTGGGTTGGTATATCTTTAAAATCTAACTGTTCAAAGGCAGCTATGTCCTCAAGTAAGTCTTCTTCACAAATGTCTTCTGTCGTGCCCACAGTGTCTCCACTGTGTGTACAGTCGATCAAACTTAGATCTAAATCTTCACCTACTGAGTAAATAGACGAACAGTCCTTAATTTCCCCATTGAACTTAAGAGTCTTAAACACATTGAAAGTTACCTGCTGGTCATTCACTCTCATGGTCAACTCACCCTTTTGTACGTCAATCAATGTCCTACCCATAGCAAGAAAGGGTCTCCCTAAGATAATCGGGACATTCCTATCGGYTTCATAATCTAACACTAGAAAGTTGGCTAGAAAGATGAATTTGTCCACTTTAACCAAGATGTCTTCAATTTTACCTTTCAGATATGCCAAGGACCTATCCGCTAATTGCAAAGTCACGGTAGTAGGTCGAACTTCCCGAATTCCCAACTGATTAAAAATGGACAAATGCATGAGATTAATACTTGCCCCAAGGTCACATAAGGCATGATCCACTTCATTCCCTCCAATAGAGCATAGGATGGTGAAACTTCCCGGGTCTTTTAACTCTGGGGGAATTTTGCAAGTAAGAAGGGCACTACATTCCTTTGTCAAAGACACGGTCTCAAATTCACTAAGTCTTCTCTTTTTATTGAGGATGTCTTTCAAAAATTTAACATAGCTAGGCATTTGCTCGAGAGCTTCTACCAAAGGTATGTTAATGTGGAGTTGTTTAAAGATGTCCAAGAACTTCTTAAACTGAACATCCACATTTTTGGCTTTCATCCTACCTAGAAAAGGTAAATCTCTTAGATCTAAATCTGTTGGACCGGTCTTAATCTGCTCGGGTGTGGGCACTTTCTGCCCACTGTGAGCAGTGTCAGTTGGAGATTGGGTGGTGCTGGAACTGGGCAAAGTTGTTGTTTCTGGAACAAAAATTGGAATTTGAGTTTCTTCAGCTGCAAGAAACAGAACTGGAAATTTCGATGTGTCAAAAGAATGTGAAATATTTTCTTGACAAATCGGCTCCATGGGTGTTTCCTTTTCAGCATTAGAGTCTCCTAAGTCCTTATCACTTCTTAAAGTCACGTCCTTAACATGTTCCTTAGGTGTTTCCGTGTCACTAGGCAAAGTTCCTTGAGGTCTATTCTTGAGATCCGTGGAAAATTGGCCAAGTTGGGTCTCAAAACTCCTCAAGGTGGCATTGGTTTGGTTTATAAAACCTTTAAGTAAAGATTCGAGTGAACCATTACCCTCCGATGCATTTTGTTGCCTAGGTGCATGTGGTTGTGAAGATTGTCCACTTTGGTACATGTGATGATTACCTTGCATGTGATTATTACCTTGCATGTAATGACCGCCTTGATTAATTCCCGGGGGATTTGAAGGTCAGTTTTGGACTTGAGTTGCCCCGGGGGGTTGAAGTCCCTGATTTTTGTCCCATGAGAAATTCGGATGATTTCTCCAATTTGAATTGTACGTTAGAGAAAATGGGCTATTTCTTGTATGGTTTCCAACATAATTTACCGAAACGGGGTTTCCGGGGCAAAACTCATAAGAATGACTTTCACCACAAAAACCACAAGATTCAGTCATGGAAGAATTAGACATTATGGATTGGACTTGATTCTTTTCCCCATTCAAGTTTAAATTATTCTTAACCAAATTAGTTAGAGCAACAATTTAGGCATTCAAAGAAGAAATGGCATCAAGCTCATGAATGCCCGAGGCAGATTTAGAAATGACAGCACGAGGGTTAGACCATTCAGTATTATTATTAGAAATTCGTTCCAAAATGTCATACCCCTCATTGTAGGTTTTAGCTGTAAAAGCACCACCGGCCGTTGCGTCAAGAATAATCTCTCCATTATAAAACGTTTCCAATTGAATACAATGAGGGATTCCGTGGTGAGGACACTTCCTAAGAAGGTCCTTAAATCTCTCCCATGCATCCAATACCACTTCATCTTCTTCTTGGCGAAACGCCATAAATTTCATTTCTAATATTTACATTCCTTGTCGGAGGAAAGTATTTTTTTAGAAATTTTTCCGCCAAATCATTCCAAGTAAGGATCGAGTTTGGTGGTTTGGAATTTAGCCATGCTCTAGCTCTATCCTTCAATGTATAAAGGTAAAGCGTTAAGCGTAAGACCTCTTGAGTAACTCCGGGAATTTTAAAATGATCCGTCATTTCTATAAAATATTTCAAATGAGAGTGCGGATCTTCCGAAGATAATCCCCCAAACTGACCCATAGCGGAAATSATTTGAAACATAACCGGCTTGGGTTCAAAAGATGTTGCTGTCATTTCGGGCCTACCAATTCCCGAGGCCAATTGACCAAATTCGGGAGTTGCGTAGTCCCGTATGCCTCTATTTTTGTCATCGGCAATATTAACCGTGGCTTCTTGAGGAGGTGGATTATTCCCCATGGTACGGTTGGGATTTCGCCAATTGTTTCTACCTCTTCTTCGTCGAGTAATTGTTCTTTCTAACTCAAGATCAAGAGGTAAAAGATCACCGTGTTGTATCCGTGGCATACAACACAGGAACAACGAATGAAACAACTGACCAAGGCTCAAATGAAAATCAATATCTCAAGATAAAAATCGTGCCAGTCCCCGGCAGCGGTGCCAAAAACTTGATGTGCTAAAATCGTAAGTGTGCACATAGTGGGCATACAATCCCCAAAGTGGCGGTGCAAGTGCACGCCGACACTAAGATTGCTTTAAGTAATAGAGTGGTATAGTACCAAGATCATTTCCACAGGGACCGGACTTACTGAAAATCAGAGACTTTCATGAACTTCTTGAACAATGCTTCGGGTTGAGAAAATAGCTGAGTTTTGATTGGTGCAAAACGTTAAAATACGAAATAAACGTTTAATATTAAAAGATGGGTATGGGTGTAAGCTTTGGTTAAGAATATTGCAGGAACAATTTGGTCAGAAACTCATGGGATTTCTATAAGAACTCCTATCTCTCGAAAGTGAATTCTTATATACTGTGCCCACGGAGTGCCCACAAAGCGTCCAGTTAAATCAATCTTAAACTTATCGAATTAGCTACTAGATAAAAAGATATCTGGTTCCACTAGCCTGAAGATTTATACTCACAACRTATTGTAGCATAAACTCGACTAATATCTGAACATAAGCTAAAAACATGCAAAACCCGCATCTCTGCGTGAATATCAAAGACTCTCTCAAATCTTTGTGCAT